GTAAGGTTTGGTTTTAGGGTTAAACCGTAAAGCCCAAACCCGCCCTAGAGGGTTTGGCGTTTCTTGGGGTCAGGTCTAGGCAGGTTTTCTGTCTCCAACCCCCAAATCCTGAATCCCAAACCCTAAAGCCTGAACCCCAACCCCCAAGCTGAAGCCCTAAACCCTCAAGCTAATTTGAAGCCCAAAGCACAAATCTCAGATCCGAACCTCCACCCTAAGCAGTGGTTTCGCAACTTCGAGCATGAAGCCTAATCCTTAGGGGATTGCAACCCGATATAGATCTGAAACCCCAATTCCCAAACCCTGAATCCGAAACCCCTAACAGCCCAAACCCCCGGGATCCTGAACCTGAAGCCCTCGTGAGTTTGTCATCCCTCCAAACATCTCCAAACCCTCCATAGACCCCCCCAACACTGGAGGCTGGGGTGGCGACGACTGGCGTGGCGGTGGTGGCGGCCCTTCGGCTGATTCAGTCAAAGCCACGTCACGTCTGGGGTTTGGGGTGACCACGAATGCTCAAACTCATCAAGGAGAGTGAGGGAGAGAGAGAGAGAGAGGGAGGGGGAGGGAGGAGAGAGAAGGAGGAGTTCGGGCGGCTCCCTTACCTGCGGGGGGGGATGAGTGCAGGAAGGCAAGAAGAGAGCAGGTAGAGAGGGATAGAGAGAGCGAGAGAAAGATAGAAAGAGAGAACGAGAGAAAGAGGGAAAGAGAGAGAGAGAGAGAGCGCCCGGGGGTCCGCCCCCATGCCCCCAAGAAAGAAAGAAAGTGCGTGCAGAAGCAGAGGAAGAAAGCTAGAAGGAGAAAGGCAGAAAGAGACGCAAAGAGAGAAAGAGAGACAAACAGAGTATATTCTGAAGGAGGGACAGTCTCACACTCGGGGGAAAAGGTGCAACAACACACACCGTGTACCCGGGGAAAGTTTCACAGTAAGAACGCACTGAGGCGCGCTCGTGCGCGGAGGGGTCCGATGGGGCTCGCAGAAGAAGAAGACAAACAGAGTGAGAGAGAGCGAGGGAGGCAGGAGGCAGGAAGAGGGAGAGAGAGGCAGAGGGAGCGAGCGGAAGAGCCGAGAAGTACATCACATCACTCAGACAGGGTACTTTCTAGGGATTCAAGAGCTCAATGCTTCAGAGGATCAAGGGCTCAAGGGGTTCAAGGGTCACGCGCTTGGGGTTTCGGGGTTCAGGTTCGGGGGGCTTAGGATTTGGGTTCAAGGGTTGTTGAACGTGGGCTTTCACTGGCTTTCACTGGCTTTCACGGTCCGCCGCCCGTTTTCCACTCAGCCCGAGGGTTTGGGGCTTGGGTGTCGGGGGCTTAGGGGTTAGGGTCTACGGAGCTCGGATTTACGAGTTAGGCTTTAGGGGATTAGGGCTGAGTATGCAGGGTTTTGGGCTTGTGGTCTCAGGCTATGACTCGGGCAAGGGCGGCAAGCGCGGGAACGACAAAGGCGGTCCACTTGGGGCTGGGGGGTTTTAGGCTCAGGCTTTGGGGCCTTGAGGGTCATGTTCCGGTGTAGGGTTTGGGGGTGAGATTTAGGGTTGAGGGCCTTGGGCTTGTACGACGATCACGTGCGCAGTTGAGATGTTTTTTGAACCGTGAAGCTTCATTGCGGCCTTTCGTTTTTAGGACCGAGATTACAGGGCAAGTGGAAGATGTCCAAAGAAAGCCTCAGGCTGAGAGATTTTGAGCCGAAGCCCCCCTCCAACCGTGAACTCAACATAAGCCTTGCGTCCGAGTTAAACCCCAAAATCCGACCCCTCCCTCACCCCGAAACCCCGGACCCGAAAGCCTTCAGCCCAGACCCAACTAAGAAACTTGAAAATCCAAACCCCCAATCCTAAGCCCAGTCCCAGAGCCCGCTGCCCCCCAAACAATTGAACCTTTCTCTATCCGTAAACCCCGAACCTCAATCCCTAAACCATAAGCTACCCGAAATCCTCTAAACCTTAACCAACCCTGCATCCAGAACGACCAGAAACCCCTCATCCCAGGCCTTCAGCCCTGACCCGTAGACCTTAACCCTAAGCCCCCAAACCCTGACACCCTGAACATTAGAAGCCCTGAGTTAACCCCAACCTGGAGTCCTATCCCAACCCCAAACCCTAAGACCTATACCCCAAAGCCTGCAATCCCTAAACCATAAGCTATAAGCCCTAACTCAGAACCCTAAACCCTAAACTTTCAACTCGAAACAAACCCTAACCTTGAACTCGAAACCAAAAGCTGTAAATCATACATCCTTCAGGTTTTGGGGGGGGGGGGTTCAGGGTTGAGGGCTCAAGGCTTCGGGCTCAGCGTTTAGGGTTTGGGGTTCAGGGCGGGACTTAGGTTGTGGGGTTGCGGTTTTGGGGGTTCAGGGCCAGGATTGTTCAGGTCGATCATTTGAGGGTTTAGCAATTTTGGGTGTAAGGATGTGTAAGGTTGCGGTGTAGGGTGTAGGTGCAAGCAGCTCTGTAGGCTTCAGGCTGCAGGGTTTAGGATTTAAGGTTTTCGGTTTTGGGTTCAAGGTTCTAGGGGTTAGGGTGTAGGGTCTAGCATGTAGGCTTTAGGGTTTAGGCGTTGGCTTTAGGGTTGAGGAAGCGCCTTGAGTACTGAGGTTGTAATGGAGAGTAACCCTCAAGCCCCGCCCCTAAGCCATACACCCCAACCCCTCGAACCCTGCAACCCCTCAATCCGCAAAACCTCGAAAGCCGTCAAGCCCCAGACCCCCGGGTTTAAATCCTGAAGTGATGCGCAGTAAGTCTTTGTAGAAACCCTCAACACTGAGCCCTAGACCCTGCAGGCGGTGGTGACTCCCGTTCGGGGGGAAAGGGTGGCAAGGGCGGCAAAGGCGGCAAGAGCCAGGCGGGAAGCTTTGGAGGGGATCCTTCGATTTTTCGAGTTTCCGGTTCGGGGTGCTTCAGGTCAGAGGACACATGCTGAAGGGTTCAGGGTTGCCATGAGATGGTCCCTAAACACACACACCACGAAAAACCTAAATCACTGAAACCGCCTATACCCCTCGTGATGAAAAAACTGAACCCTAACCCCTAAACCCGAAAACGCCTTCTTCAAACAGCTGCAAGGATTCCGGCCCCCCGCCGGCTTCGAAGGGTCCCGGGGAAGCGTTGCAGCGACTGGGCCATGATTTCAAAAGGTCCAGGTGAGATTTGGGTTTAGGTTATGAGGTTTTAGGGTTTTAGGGCTATGGGGTTTCAGGGTTTCAGGGTAAGGGTTACTGGGTCGTGATTTGGGATTTTCGGGTAGGGGTTAGGTTTCGGATTCAGGACATAGGGCTGAAGGCATAGGACTTCGAATGGATTTAGTAAGGCTTAGGGCCGAGCGGCACATTCAGGTTTCAGAAGGTTAGGGCTCTAGGTCTCCGTTCTCTAGGCTTTTGGTCCAGGGCATAGGGTTCTGGGCATTGTGGTGAGAGCTGACGGTTACGGGCGAAGAACTTAGCGTGGTGTCGGGGCTGTTTAGGGATTTAGGCGTCTAGTGTAATTAGTCACGAACGTGTGGGCTTGGATCCTGGGATGCGTGAGTGAGCAAGGGCCAAGGGTTTGGGTGCATGGTTAGTGGTATACAAGCTTGTTGTAAACGCTTGCGCGCCACCTCGGCGTCAGGGGGCATCAGGGGCATGGAGGGGATTGTCGGCGCATGGGATGAAGAAGATTTGCCCAGGCCCGGCGAGAGCCTGCGGCTGAATGTCAACGACTGTGAGGCCGGCTTGCTGCTTGGACTTTAACGTTCAGAGCTTAAGGTGAAGTGGTTTTAGGCTCAAGGATTCAGGGTTAGCTTGGTTTGTCAAGTTTTTCGGTTTAGGAAAATGCAGGATTAGGTGTTTGCTGGGGATTAAGAGTTTAGGCTTGGGGACCTCAGAGATTCTCTTGTTTTCAGTCCTGGGGGCTTGGGAATTTTGGGGGCTCAGGGTTTGCAGATTCTGGATTCAGGTTTTAGGGTTTTCATTTGGGTTTCGGGTGTAGGGTTACGGCTTAAGACAGATTTTCGGTTTGAGGGCTTCCTAGAGTTTAGGTGGGGTCAACCTCTATACCCTACAACCATTGATCCCCACACCCGAAAGTAGCACTAATCTTCCGCTACACCTTTAACCCTGAGCTCATGACCTGCCTGGCCGCCGAGGATGCTCATGGGCAGCACCGGCAGTGGCACGCGAGAAAGAGCGAAAAGGACATACACTCATCCACTCAGCCCGAAACACCTTGTGCTCCCAGGCTCTTAGGCTTAAAGGCCCCTTATCCCTAAAGCCCTAATCCGCAAACCCTAAACCCTAAACCCTAGACCCTCAGCACCCTCAGCACCCTCAAATCCCTTGAGAAGAGGAAGACTGACAGTGGCACGCAATGGGCCGGCGTCAGGGCCGACTGTGGCGTGGCTGCGGAGGCATCTTCGGGAGAGCGCTGTGGGTTTGGGGATGGGGGGGTTTGGAGTTTCAAGTGTTGGGTTTAGGCCAGAGTTTCGGGCTTTTTGGGTCAAGTGTTTTGGGGAGGAGGGGCAGGGTTGAAATGAAGGATGGATTTCTGAAGTTTGGGGCTTATGGAGACTTTGGGATTTGTTGGGGTGTTTGGGGTGTTACAGAGGTACTTGTAGTGTCCTTGGGATGTTTGGGATGTTGACAGGGTTTTAAGGGTGGTTCAGGGGTTTTGTGGTTTAGGGATTAGGGGTTTTGAGGTTTAGGGTTTTTGGAGTTTAGGGTTAGGCTTAGGGGCTTTTATGGGCTTAGGGGTTTTCAGGGTTTAGGGTTTTTTCAGGGTTTGGGGTTTTGGGTTTTGTTTCGGTTCAGGGTATCTGGTTTTTTGGGGGTTTGCGGTTTTTTCGGGTTAAAGGCTTAGGGCTTTTGTAGGGCTTAGGCCTTACGGTGAGGGAGCGTGGCTTCCTGAGCTTCCCGCGGCGCAGAATCGGCTTCAAGGGAGGGTCCGTTTTGGAGTTTCCCTGTTTTCTTGCTTTAGTCTTTCCGGCGCGAATTTATTGACCAAACTTTCTAGTGTTCTCTTTTAGACATGGCGTGGCTTCTGCGGCAGGACGTGTCCGCGTCGAGCTTTCCTTTTCTGATTCAGCCGCCCCCGTTTTGCGATTCGGCGCTGCGCAGTTTCCGATTCGTGCCTGACGTTGTCCGATTCAGCGCGGGGTGCTTTCCGATTCACGTTTTCTGATTCGCGCCTTACCCATGTGGGGGTCGTTCAAGTTGTAAGGCAATATGGCATATCGGATGATCAGGGTTTTGAAGGCCAAGAGCGTAGTCTTTAGGGTTCAGGGTTTAGGTTTTAAGGTTTCCGGTCTCCTACAAGACTTAGGGTGTAGGCCAAGAGTGCAAGATATCGGGCTAGTTTAGTTTAAAGCTCCCGGGCTGAATGTTTTGGATCCGGGTATCCAAGAAGTAGGTTTATTGGGGAATGACAGGCCAAGGGCATGAGGCTGAGGGTTGAGGGCGAAGGGTTTAGGGGTTTGGGGGTGCAGGAGTCAGGGTTTAGGTTTTCTTGGGGGGTCCAAAACCTGGCCGTTCCTATCCTTGACATCCTATGCCCTAGCGAATGCGACAGATTCACGAAACCGCGAACAATACATTTAATAAAAAATCCTTCAGCCTTATGCCCAAAGCCGCAAACGCTAAATCGCAAGCCCTAAACTCCCAAGCTCCCGAAACGCTTCAACCTCCTCAAACCTAGACCATCTTCTGAAGCCAGAAAAAACCCTAACCAGGGCCTCTGGGCCCTTTGCTAAGCCTTGATTACCCCAAGTTGCCCCCAAACGGATGTCAGCTCCTCGGCTTTCCGAGGGCCTCTGGGCCTTCTGCGTCTGGAACGAGACTGGCGGGAACCTCCGCATCGGCTGGTCCACCGCCGGGGCCAAGCCACTGGGCCGCGGTTCACGGTGGGTTTAGGGTTTAGGGTTTAGGGTTTAGGGTTAGTTTAGGGTTTAGGGGGTTGATATTGAGGGTGCTACGGTTTAAGCGTGCAGGGTTTCGGGTTTACGGGTTGAGGGGGTGTTAATGGTTGAGGGTTTGTGGTGTAAGGGTCTGAGGGTTGGGAGTTTAAGGGTGCAGGGGTTTGAGGGTGTTAAGGGTGAAGGGTTGAAGGTTTACGGGTCAAGGGTTAAGGGTTTGTGGTCCAGGGCCTGGGGGAGGGGGGTGGGGTTTAGGCTTCAGCGTTCGGGGTTACGGGCTTGTGGTTAAGGCGGTTAAGGGTTTGGTTTTTCGGGCTTGGGCCGCAGAATGATTTGAGGTGTTTGAGGGGCCTGATGGCTGTATAGAGTTGTCGGGTTAAGCGTCAGGATTTAGGGCTCAGTTGCTGTGATGGGTCAAGTGGTTCGGGGTGAACCCGAGCTTACGGCTTAGAGCTTGGGGTGAAGGCTGTTGCGCCCTTCACCCTGTTGCCTGAGCCCTCCTTACTCCGCGAGCCCTAAACTCTAAACCTCCTCAACTCTGAACTTCAAATCCTGTACCTTCAACCTGAAGCTCTGAAACCCCAAGCCTGAAACCCAAAGCCTTGCGCCTTCACAGCCGCCGCTAGATCACTTACGGCGCCTTAGCAGGCCCAAGACCTAGACCCGAGGAAGCCCCAAGCCCCAAACCAAAGTCACAGCCTAAAGCCTATGCCGAAATTTGGGCCCTTGGGTCTTAAAGTTTGGCCTTTTTCAGCTTCGGGCTTGGGTTTAGTGTTTGAGTCCAGGGCTTGGGGTTAAGGTTTGGGGTTTAGTGTTGGGGCTTGGGCTTAGGGTGCAGGAAGGATGTCTTCCCCTGAAGCTTCTGGAAAGCCAAAACCACTATGAAGCCGCAGTGATGTGGGACGTCGGCGCGAAAACCAAAGAGCTTCTTCGCCCTGTTGGGAATAAAGCCTGAACGTTGAGGTTTTAGAGCCGCACCCACACACACACAGGCTATTCGTCCTCCACGGCTCAACTATTCGTCCTCCCAAACCCGCAACCTCACATAATCCCAAACGCCCCACCGCCCAAATCACAAGTGCTTTAAATCTGAGAGCCTTAACCTGAAATCCAAACCCTGAACTCCAAGCCCTGAGACCTCTCCCGATTTAAGCTGTGATTTGGGTTAGGATTTGTATGCTGGGATGTCGGGCTGAGTCTTTATAGGCTTCAGGGTTCAGGCTTTCTAGGTTGTTTCGGATCTTCGCGCCCTAATTAAGCCTGAAAACTTGAACCATGATTCCCGAAACCCAAGACCACAAAGCCTAAACCCCAAGCCCTAAACCCAAGCATCCTAAAACCTGAGCCCCCAACACCAAAACAAAAAGAACGTTCTGAGGCTCGCCCTGGGCACGGATCGCTTCTCCTGGGGCTTCGGCGGCACAGCCACGAAGTCCCACGCAGGGAACTTCGAAAAGCACCTTGATCTTTTTGTTCGGGTTTAGGGTTTAGGGTTTAGGGTTTAGGGTTTAGGGTTTAGGGTTTAGGGTTTAGGGTTTAGGGTTTAGGGTTTAGGGTTTAGGGTTTAGGGTTTAGGGTTTAGGGTTTAGGGTTTAGGGTTTAGGGGCCTTGATGTTTTTGTTAGGGTTTGCGGTCTTGGTTTGAAGCGTCACGCCGGAACTTTGAGCAGCGCCTGTCCTGCACGGCCAACGCCTAAACCCTCAAACCCTGAAAGTCTCGAGGCCATGAAGCTGTTATATCCTGAAAAACATCCGTTCAACTCTCATCCTAAATCTCAAAAAGTGTGTTGCCGTTAGGGTGGCATGCTGAACGTGTGCTTTGAGGGTGAAGACCTCAGGACTTCAGGTTGAACATCCCACTTCTTTCAAGACCTCGGAGCCTCTTGAACCCCCCGAATCCTAAACCCCCTGAAGCCTGAGCCCAAAGCGGCAAAAAACTCTCAAGCCCAAAGCCTAGGGCTTAAACACTACACCCTTAGCCCTGCCCAAACTCCTGAACACTATCTGCCAACCCCCAAACCCGAAACCTTAAACCCTAAACCCCTACCCCAAACCCTGAACCCTAACCCCCTGCAGTCCCAGAATTGCGAAGGTTCGGGCAAACCTTCGGCAAGGACGACGCCATCACCTGCTGTTTGGATCTCGAGAGGCGCGATCGTTGTTTGTGTGGTTCAGGATTCGAGGGTTTAGGCCTGAGGGCTGTGAGGTCGAAGGGTTTGGGTGAAGGATGAGGGTTTGAGTTTAGGGCTTCAAAAGGTGCACTCTTTGCTTTATGTTTGGGGTTGAAGGTTTAGAGGCTTGATTTTGGGTTTAGGATTTCGGGTTTTGTGCTTAGGGCTTAGGGCCTGGGGTGCGCGATTTGCGGATCTCGATAGGAGCGCTCTGTCTGTGGCCAGAGTAGGGCTTGGGGATTCTAGTGCGAGAGTTGAGGGCTCAAGGCTGCAGATGTTAGGGCGGTTTTTAGGGTTGACGTGCTCCAATTTTATTGTCCTGGGGTTTTAGGTTTTGGTGCATGTAAAGGTTCGCTGCTGCGGGCTTGGGCCTGTAGTGTGAAGGAGGCTGTGCATAGCCCCACTCTTCTAAACTTCTGGATCGTTTACCCGTGTAACCCAGTCCCTGACAAACGATCTAACGCTTGGGGTTTAGGGGTTAAAGGGTTTTGGGGGCTTTGGGGATTTGGGGGCTTTGGGGCTTAGAAGGGCATTGTAGAGTTTTATGCGGCCAGGCGGGCGATACTGTACTTCAAGAACGGCCGCGAGATTCCTGGCGATTGCTTCACCTTCGGGAAGGACAAACTCCCATTCGTCGAAAAAGCAGCCTTTCTCGATGTTCCACCTCCGCTTTTTGGGGTTTTCTCGGGGGTTCTCGGGGGTTCCGGGTTTGGTTAGGTGTAAGGGTGTCTTGGAGTTTAGCAGTTCTCAGAGTTTAAAGTATCACAAGCGAGGTCAAAAGGCAACACAACAGCTCAAACCCAAGCGTCGCTGAGGAGCTGTCGGGTGAGCCTCTCTTTCCCCATGTTTACACCAAGGCCGGTGGGCGTTGGGCGGGTTTGGGATGTGGGGGCGATTGGCACGGGGTTGCTTGCTTGTTATGGGGCTCATGGTTCAAGGGCCTCTTCAAATTTTCGAGGTGCAGGAATTGAGGGTCTAGAGACAAGCTCTATGCAGGGCCGGCTCGTTTAGGTCTTAGGGCGTTATGGGTTTGGAAGTTTAGGGTTTAGGAAGGCGTTGGTTGGGGCGGGTGGAAGTGCGGTTCTTGGTAGCTTTCGCCGGCTGTTCGAGGTGGGCAGTCGCTGCGTTAGAGCTACGAATGCCATAGGGTGCTGCACCTAAAGGACCTGTATCTCTTGAGCCGGCAGAGGAAGCAACCGTCCAGAAAACCCTCAAGCCGAATTCTCAAGCCCTGAATCCTAAAGCCCAACCGCTTAATCCCACGACCTTAAACCCACCAAGCCTGAATGCCGAAAGCAGATGCCCTCCCACAAAAATGACTGACGCGGAAGCGAACTTCCAGAACTCTATTGGGCTTCGGGCTTCAGTTCTTTTTTGCGCAAAACTGCAAACCCAAATCTCAAACCCTAAACCTCCTAAGCCCTAAACCCTAATCCCCCAACCCTAAACCTACCCCGAGCCCCCTTAACCCTAAAACCTTAAAGCCGAGAGAGGATGCCACTACCTCAAACCTAAAGCCCTAAGACCAGGACCCAAAACCCCTCTACTCTCAGACCCTAAACCCTAATTAAACCCTAGAATGCCAATCTCTAAGAAAGGGTACATGGCCCCTTTGGTTCTGAAGTATTTGCCCTTAGGTATAGAAGGGGTATGTATAAGGGCAACTACCCGAAGAAAATCCTCGAGAGCGGAAAGAGGAAGCCACCTTCTCGATCTCCTTCGACGGGAGCGGGGGCGCGCCACCACTGTCTGGTGCCTTCCGAGGGGTTTAGGGTTTAGGCTTTAGGGTTTAGGGTTTGGGGTTTGGGGTTTGGGGTTTAAACAAACCAGCCTATCCATGGTCCTTTTGCTCCAATTTCAATTCCAATTGGAGCGCATTTCATTTGCCTATTCAAAGCATACTACTGCTGTGCGGGATAGAAGGGGCTCGTGGACGGAAATCTTGGGTAGTTCAGGCGTCATGAGATTGACGGTGCACGAAACGAAAAGGGAAATCCAGTAAACATTCCCTGTTCATGAAAATCTCGAGAATTAGTAGAATTCAGTAGCGTTCATTAAATTTTCAAGGTTGGAAACCTTACAGACTTATTACAAACTAATGAAAGTGAACCCCAGCCAATATTGCATGCGTTTTTTGAATTTTGATCAGCGTTATTGATTAGTGTTACTTAGTTTCGATTAGTTTGAATTAGTTCCAAATGGTTTGATTTAGTTGATACTTCTTTTTCATGAGTTCTTTAAGTGTAATCAATTTTGGAATCATTTTATGCCATTCAGCTCATTTTCATGAACCTGGATCTAAGATTCAATGTTAACCCTTGAAGCCCGGAACCTGAACAAACCCTCCACCCAAAAACACAGACCCCCCATGCCTTCAAACGACACGGCCATGCAGTGGGCCAGTTTTCCGCCAATGCCAGAGAAACTGCAACTGACTCCAAATCCTAGGTGCTTTCAGGCCCCATACCCTAAGCCCCCGAAACCTGAGCCCCGACCCACAAAATCTTTCAACTGTTAAAGCCAACCTCAAACCCTTAACCCCAAACCGTCTAAAACCCGCAGGGTTGTTTCAACAAGCATCCAACAGTGAACCCTCAATCCCCTGAACCCTACACCCTCAAATCCTACACCCTCAGGCCCTTAAATCTTTCAAGAACCAACCAAGGTGGTTTCAAGAACCACACAACACCCGAAGCCCTGTTAAGAACCAACAAAGGCGGCTTCAGCATGTAAAGTCCTTTCAAGAATCAAGAGAGGTGGTTTCAAGTGGATCGCCGAAGCTGGCAACTTGGTCGCTCAGCTCGCATTTCGCGTCAGACACAGCCTACCTCCATTTCTTCATGTTCAGGGTTTAGCTCTCCCTGACGTAGATTTTTAGGGTTTAGGGCTCAGGATTTCAGACTTCTGAACGCTAAGACTCTAAGACTCTAAGACTCAAGCCTCAAACTCCAACCACCTCGAAGCGAAGACACAGATTGAGAACTCAGAAAAATGTCCCTCACACCCATCAACCTGAAACCTGAAACCATAATGGTACTAAGCCTCAAACCTCAAACCCCCAGGCCCACCCTAAGTCTTAAACCCTAAAAAACCCTCAACACTACACCCAGGTCCCCCACCACACCCGCGTGGCGGGGGCCGGTCCCGACCCTGCGGCTGCTGAGGAGCCCGAGTTTTGAATAAGGAGGGGGAGGTAAAACGGTTTGGGAGCCGGGGTTGAGTGTACTGAGGGTCCTAAAAGCCGTGAACGGCATCATGAATCTTCAGCCTCAAGCCTTCTCCTAAACTCCTTCAGCCAAAGCCCCAAAGCGACACCCCGAAGCCCAGAGCCCAGAGCCCGAGCCCTAAAGCCGAAGCCCAAAAGGTCCTACATCCCCAAGCCCTACCCCCCAGCATCCGAAACCCTTTCACCACAAAGGAGTCCGGAGATGGACCCAAGCACCTCGGATTTATTGTTCTTGTGAGGGTTCGGTGTTGTTAGTCGGCCGAGTCTTCTTGACTTTGTTGTTACTCTGTCCCTTCGCAAGTGCTTTTGGAGAGGTTTCCTGAGGTTTTCGCGGGGTATATGTCTAGGTCACAGGGTGTTCTGGTTGATGTTTCGGACTAAGAGGAGCTTAGGGCTGGGGCACTTTTTTTGTTTGGAGAGGGGGGGTGGGGGGGCGCAGGGCCTGTGGCGTAGAGAGTATGTTGTTGCTCTTGGTCTTCTACGCGTTGTCGTGGAGCTTTAGAGGGCATAGCTACATAGAGGATATTCAGGAGTTCTCTTAGGGCGGGTCCCGGTTTCAAGGGTTAGATTCTTACCGGTCTGAGGTTTCAAGGTCCAGGAGTCCGGGATGTCAGGGGTTCAAGATTAAGATGGGCGAAGGGTTTCCTAGGGTTGGCCCGGCATTCATTCTTTCGGGATTTCTTTGAGGATCTCCTCTTTTCTAAGGTTTCTAGTTATGTGTAAGGGTTTGGGCTTAGGGCTTGGGTTGTCTTTAGCTGCTTTGAAACTCCTTCTGAAGCATCCCTTCAGGTTTCCGCAGATGTGTCTAAAGACGGCAGAGTTTATGGTTTGGGTTTCGGGTTCAGCGCCTAGAGCTTCGAAGATACAGTGTAAGGTTCAGGTTCTAGCATCTTCAAGGTTGGGAGCCAGGTTTGGAGGTTCGGGTGTAGAATTTTTGGACTTTGGATGAATTTGGCGATTAGGGTTTTGAGGTTCATAAGATGTTTACAGTTTAGCATGGAAGTTTTTGGCACTTTGTTAAGGGGATTTATGGGTGGAGGGTTCAGGGCCGAGGATTGAGAAGGCTTGTGTGGTTGAGGGTTCGGGTTGAGGTTTCAAGAGGTTGAGGGTCGATCTTTTGCAGTTTTTGGTTGCAGGGCTCCGGGTGAACGTTGTTGATGTCTTTACGGCTTTTCCTTGATCACGGTTGCAGTCTGGTGGTGGTGTACAACTTAAGGTTTGGACTAGGGTTCCGGGTCTACGTACAAGGCTTGCCAAAGATGTTTCAGGACAGCAAGCTAGGGCCTGTCGCAAACAGTTTCCTGGAGCTTACACCACCTTTGTTAAAAAGGGCTAGGGCTTAGGCTTTAGGGTCTATAGGGGTTTCGGGTACAGAGCTAGCAAGGGGTTAAGGGTCAGCTTTGGGGTTCGGGTTTAGGTCACGGAGCGATCCACAAGCACTGCATCCTGAATCCCTGAAGTCTGTTGTCGAAAGGTTCGTGCTGACGCCGTATGGCTGGAGGACTCCATTCTCGTTTCGATTGGGTGCAAAACCCCTAAGCCCAAAGACCTGAAACCTAAGCCCTAAGCGCTCGGCCTTAAGCCTTCAGCCCTCAGCTCGAAGCCTTCAACGCTTAAAGCCTAAAAGCTTAAACCCAAATGCCCAGACCTTCTGCGATTTGGATCCGGGGCTTGGGGTTCTTGTTTCAGGGTGTTGGGTGTTGCGGGTAGGGTTTGAGCGTTGGGGTTTTGAGTGTCAGGATTTTGTGTCTTGGGGGTTGGCTTTAGGTTTTCGGTTTGGGGTTTGCAAGAGCTTTGCGGGTCGGGGCCATCGAGTTCAGGGCGATGTGCTCCACACTCCCCAGCCAGATTTGGCGCTGGGCTGACACATGAACCTGAAGCCGCCACCCCAAACCCCAAACCCCGAATCCTAAACCCGTATAGCCTGCACCCTAAATCCGAGCCCCAATTCCAAAATCTACACCTTAAAACCTAGTGCTTATACCGGCTCTTCAATCTAAATCATGCATAGCAGAGGTCCCCAGAATCGTTCTCATCCCTAACCCCGAACCACTGATAGCCCTGGCGCCAATATATAGCTTGAACTCTACATCTCCAACCCGTTGAACCCCAAACCCTCAAGTCGTAAACTTTAACAACTTGAGCCCGCAACCCAGAACCCAACACCCTTTAAACCCATAGCCCGAACGAAGCCCAATGACCAACACCCGTCAAACCCAGAACCGGAAACCCTTGGAAGCCTAAAAAGGACAGTGGAGCAGGCGGGCGGCATTACGCAGGAGTGGAGAACGTCCCTGGACGCCTACGTCAGGCGACTCGGGTTAGGAATTGGGGTTTAGAGTTTAGGGTTGAGGTTCGTCGTTCGTCGTCGGGATGAAAGGGCTTGCCGGGCCTATCCTGCAAGCGAGGGCTTGGAGTTGAATTAAGTTTGAAGTTCAGGGGTCTAGGTTGAGGGTTTGGCGTGTAGCTGGTAGGGTTCGGGTGTTGCTACTGACAGTGTTTGGAATTTGCTATGTGCGTGTTGGCTCGGATCAAGGTTTGTTGTGTAAGTTGTGCACGTCAGTGGTGTAGGCTTATCGTTTACGATTCAGATTTTGGCATATAGGGTTTAATTTAGAGTTCGGAAACAATTTTCGGTTTACTGAGCATTGGAAGGTGGTTCTAAAGGGAGCTGAAGATTCAGGTCTGGCAGGAGGGCTTTTTCATTTTTGGATGCGGCTGCCGAAGGCTATGCCCGTTTTGAAGAGGTCGGGGGCTTTGTTCAGTGTTTGAGATATTCTGCAAGTTATATGATTCAGGGTTGAGTGTTTCTATGCCTCCATATGTAGATGTTAGGGGTGTAGGGATTGATATGAGTGACGTATTCGTCTAGGTTAGTGAGAGTGTTCCAGGAGTCTGTAGTGCTTTACGCCTGACCCCAAACCTTGCCTAAACCCTACGTAACCCCTAAAGCCTTTTCAACGCCTACAGCAACTCCAAACACCAAGCCCCAAGACCCTAACACCCGACTTTGACCCCAAACCGAACATCTACCCTGAGTCCGCGTGTAGAGTTACAGTTTAGGGTCTAGTAGTCTAGGATGTCAATCCGAAAGGAAGCTTCTGCAGGTCCCTATCGACGAGGCTTTTCAGATTAGGCCCTGAAATCCTGCACCCTAAGCCCTAACCCCACAGACCTTAAGGCCTAAACTTAAATCCCAAAGCTTACCTACACCGTCCGAGAATCCTGAGCTCCAGCCCTAAATCTTTAGATCCGAAGCCTTAGACGCGACCATCCTTGCCCCGCCCCAAGCGAGGCGCTTCACTTCGAGCCTCAAGCCTACAGCCTCCTAACCTTAAGCCTGCAACAGTAAAACTCAGTAAACCTTGGGTTCAGGGTCAGGGTTTGGGGTTCAGGGTTTTGGGTTTTGGGGTTTAGGGTTTAGTCTGGACATGCCCTTTACAGGCATTTCACTTCGAGCCTGGAGCTGGAGTACGAGGCGGAGAGGCAGGCGGTGATTGCAACTGGGCCGACACGGTTTGCTGTGTTAAAGTTCATGGCTTAACGTTTACATGTAGGATTTCGGGTTGAGGGGTGAATGTTTATGGTTGGGAAATACGGTTCATGGTTGAACTATTTTAGGTGCTGAAAGGCCTTTTCGTTGCCAGTGATCTGGGGTGTTGGCTTTCGGGTTTAGGGTTTGTGGCTTGAGGCTTAGGGTGAGGTTTAGGGTCAAGGTTTGAGGGCTCGGGTTTCGGGGGCTTCGTGAGAGGCCGGGCTCCTTGTTGGGTTTGGGGTTCAGGTTTTGGGCAGGAGCTGAGGGATTAAGGCTTCGGACTCGGATTTAAGGTTTAGGGCTTAGGGGTCTACAATTCAGGTTCATGTTTTTCAGAGCCTTGGGGCCTTAGAAACCCCGAAGCCTTAAGTCCCCCAAACTGATACACCAGGGCCTTAACAAACTCAGGAAAGTTTTCAGTCTCGAATTCGCTTATACCCCAAACCCCAAACCCTAAACCCTCAAGAAACCTCAGGCACGTAAGATTCTCCAGGAAGCCGAATGACCCATCCCTGAGTCCCTGAGCCATGACGCCTTGATGCCCCTCAACCAAAAATCCTAAACCCCCCAAGCCCGAAACCCTAAACCCTAAACCCTGAACCCTCCGAGGAGAAGGTGAGCAAGCGAAGCGCCCGTCAGCTGCAGGAACCTTTTCCCTCCCCCCTCCCCCAAACAGCGTAGGGTTCCGGGTGTGGGGCTTACATTTCAGGGCTTAGTATTTGGACCCCCCGGAACAAGTGCGCTTTCGGGTGTTTAGGGTGTAGGTTCAAGGCTTGAGGGGTTAGGAATTGGGCATGTTGGGTTTAGGGTGCTGGGTTTAGGGTTTGCAGTGCATGGTGACGGGAAGGGTTGGGAGTAGGGTGCAGGGTTTGGGGTGTAGGGCTCAGGGTGTAGCGTTTGGGGTGTAGGGTGAAGATGTATAGGGTTTGGGGTGTAGGGTGCAGGGCTTTGGGTTGGGTGGGCTTAGGGTGTAAGGTTTTGGGTTTAGCATCAAGGGCTCAGGATGTTTAGGGTTTAGGGTCTGGGGTCTTGGACATCGCCTTGCAACAGTCCATCAGCCACGTCGGAGGATAGCATTCTCATCATTTTGAGGCTTATGCTCAATATGACGCACTTCTGGATGGTTGCTTCACTACAACAGATATCCTGCTCACACGTTGTAGAACGTTGCACATATTCTCAAACTCATTCCATAGTTTCTGTTCCAAGAAAGGCCTTTAGGGTCCAAAGTCTGGCGTTGGGTTTCTTCTGCAGCTTGAGTTTGATTAACCCCCCCCCCCACCCACCCTCCCCCAAAACCAAAGTGAAGAACAAGTCTCTGAGCAACACATGAAGTCGGCCTTTGACTACGTTTAGCAAGATCGTTCGGAGTTGGAGCTTGGGGATGGGGGCTTGGGGCTTGGGGATTCAGGCTTCATTGTTATTTTGGGTTTGGGATGCACCGTATGGTTTGCGATGTAGGGTGTTCCGATTCGTTTGGAAGCCCTCAGTCCTCAGCCTTCGGCCCAAAGCCCCCCTTCAACCAGAGCCCAACCAGACCTTCCGAAGGACGAGGGCATCGGCATTTCGGGACTCTGATCCTTGGGTTATGATCAAGGTAGCGACTAGAGCTCAGAGTTGAGTTGCAGAGGTTAAGCTTAGGGGTTGCTTAAGCCTTATCCCTAAGCCCGAAACCTCAAACCCCACAACCCTACACAGTACATGCTATGCCCTCAACTCCAAAAGCACATAGCGGTGAGGTTTGGGGTTGACGTTGTGGAGCGTAGGGCTTGGGAGGTTTCGGTTTGGGGTTGCTGGATTCGGGTTTCAGAGTTGTGGGCCCAGGAGTTCAGGGTGTGGGGTTGAAGGTTTGGGGGGGTTTGAGGGTTTAGAGGTCAGGGTTTCGGGCGTGGATTTTCCTGTTTCAACTTTATTAACTTCCAAGGAGCAGCCGGACTAGAGCCCAAACCCCAAAGCCCAAAGCCCAAACAGGACGTCAAAAGCCCCAAACCCTAGAGCCTTATCTCTGAACCCTGGCCCCAGAACTGCACAACTTGATCCTAAGCCCTGCAGATCCGCGCCCCTCAAACACCCTGAACCTGTCGCCTCCCACACTGCACAGCCTTATGCCTTAATTGCCCGAATCCTAAAAAGCCCTCAGCCCGAAACCCGAAAGCTGAAACCCTAAACTCCAAACCTCGACTCAGGACCCTACACACCTTAGGCACAAGAAACTCGTAAGCCGCAAACCATGAACATCCTGTTCGACCCCGTCTACTTGCTACGGCCCAATCCTTAAACCCTAATTCCTAAAGCCTAAACTTAACGTCTAAAGATCCCAACCCTAAACCCAGTCCTGAATCTTAAACGCTAAACCCTAAGGGGTATACCCAGCCAAACCAGACCCCCTACACCTAGCACCTAATCCAGCAAGGTGGTGAGTTCGACCCGATCTACGGCCGCGTTACCCTCTGGACCGACGGCTGGAGGACTTGGATTGCAGGGTTTCAGGGTTTGAGGGTTTGAGGGTTAGGCTTTGAGGGTTTGAGGGTTTAGGACGCTTAAACCCTCTACCCTAGGCCATATGCGCCCTAAGCCCTGAAGCCCCAAGCCCAAAGCCTGGCCCTGAAAGGTCGACCGGCGAACCTAAACCCTTGACCCTGAGCTTGGGCCCCAAATCCTCGATCCTACGCCTCGATCAAAAAAGCACCAGGATGCCGTACCTCTCCGAAATCAAGTTCGGCCGCGCCGTCTTGCTGAGCACGGCCACAGGGGGGGTAGATCTGGAGGATCCGAAGACGCTCGGTTTGAGGGTTTGAGGGCTTTAGGGTTGTTGCAGGTCTCAAGTTTTTCGTGCTTCGTGTTTAGTGTTTGGGGCTTGGAGGATCCGAAGACACTCGTAAACGAAAGGGGCGTGGGGTTTAGAGTTTGGGGCTTCGAGGCTCCGGGGTGCAATGTGTAGGTTTAATGCAGGGTTTGCGGTTTAGGGCTGTCGGTGTCGGGTTTGGGGTTTTGCAGTCAGGGTCCAGGGTTCAGGGTTCTGTGTTTCAAGGTGCGGCATTGGGAGTTCCAAGAGGTGTTCTCTCTTTTCCTTCCTTGCGTGGAAGTTGGTTTGAGTTTAGGGTCCAGGCGCTCAGGGCTTGGGTTTGAGTGTTTCTGAATTTACAGTCGGGTTTGGGGCTTCAGGGCTTTAGGGTTAGTTTGGGGTTTGGGACATAGGGCTCCTGCTTCAGTGTTTCGGGTTTGGGTGTGGGGTTTAGGGTTTGGGACTTGGGTGTTTGGGGCCAAGGTCTTTGGGTTCGGGTGTAGATTTCAGGGTTTCGGCAAATCAGACCGAGGAAGACGATCTCGGCCGAAGTCGAAAGCATTCGCGACAACACCATGGTCCTAAGCACCCCATACGAGCGACTGCCCTCCACTGGAAGCTCGGAAGACTTAGGGTTCAGGCTGATGACGAGTGCTCGGGGGTTTGAGGTTCAGGGTTAGCCCCAGATCCTTTAAGCTCAAGAGGAGATTGCATGTTCAGCTGACTTCTTCACCCGAAGCCCTCCGCCAAAAACCCAAATCTTGAACCGTCATCCCCAAGACCTCAGCCCGAAGCCCTCAAACCTCAACCCTAGGCTCTTTCCCCATTCACCCTCAACGCTGGACCCTAAACATGTTTCACATCCCTACCCCCTACGCCCATTCGCTTAGGGGACGGTGGCTTGCTTGCGGGTTGTGGTTGTTGTCTCAGGGTCCAGGGTTTAGGGTGTAGAGTTTTGGGTTTAGGGAGTGGAGTCGGGTTGAGGCTTGAGGATCAGGTTTAGAGCTTAATGGGGGTTTAAGACTCAGGGTTCAAAGCATCCAGAGGGTTGCGTGGCGACCTTCAGCAAGAACGACAAGCCGGAAACCCGCAGCTGTTCAACCGAATGCGCTGAAACGATCTCAAAAACTAAACTAGAATCGAACCAGTCGTAAACTTCGTAAACCTGAAACTCCAAACCCCAAACCCGCAAGCACCCTTCACCCGCAAACTGCAGAAACACTTCTAACGAGCCCGAGAGCAGTGGTCGGCTGACTTTGTGACGCACAGGCTATCCTTCGGTTTGCCAATTCTTCCTCTTCGTTCGCCCCACGCGTCTTGCGATCCCCTTTGTTCAAGCCCACAGCCCCTATTGCTTAACCCTTAAACCCGGAACCCTAAACCCGACTAACCCCTGTGTGATTCCTTGCAGCGTCTGATTCCACACGCTCCGCCCGGCCCATACTTTCTGGGCCCTTTCTTTATGCACACCGCGTAGATGCACCGTAGAGACGAGGGCCGTGGATGCGGGTCGTTGGGGTTTGGGTTCGAGTCCCTGTTCCCATTGGATTTTTGAGTCGCCTGAGCTGCCTCGGGTGTTTCAAAAGAACTGGTGG